TATATAGAATATAGGATATATATTCTATATAATATATAGAATATGTTACATGTAGAAATGGACAATGCAGAAATGGACAATTTGTTTTGATTGACTGTATGTGTTTGTAACAGATTTTGTTTTTCTTGCTTTCTTGATAAGGGAATCAGGAAGTGGGAGACAGAGAATTCAGACTTGAAAATAAAATAAAATTGAATTTTAAAAATAAATGACCAGATGACCTCTGAGATCCCTTCCATCTTTAAATCTCTGATTCTGTGATCCTCAAAGAGTTACGATAATGTAAGCTGTTACTGTGATTTTAGCTACTTTTCAAACAATTCCCCATAGTGCTTGGTGAACCTGAAAAGCTTACAGATCCCCAGGTTATTTGGTGATAGCATTTCCAGAATAATTGCATGGAGGGGATCCCCTTTGCAAAATCTGCCTTGGGAATTAAGAATTTAAATTTATTCTGCAGCCCTGAGCAGAATGGCTTCAGGGTAACAAGTTAGTCATATAATATGTTCCTGAAGTTGTCAGGGAATATTTTTTTTTTGTCAAACTGCTGTACAGTTGGAGAACATGAGACATAGAGAGGTAAAATAACTTGCCTTAGGTCACCTAGTATGCCATTGACAAAACTGAAAATAAAAAAGAAATAAAACCTAGCAGTTCTCCATATCACCAATGAGACCATACTCCATCTCTTTAGGGAACTTTTATTAAAATGCTCTGTATGATGAGTGAGGAAGAAATGGAAACTTGGTAATAGATATTAAGACACCAGGGAAACTTAATAAGACAGATGGATTAGAGTCAGGAAAGGTCGTACCAGACAACTACACAGTGTGATTCAAGATGTATTACAAAGTCCCTCCTACCCCTAAAATATCTCCTTTATTGGCTTGCTCTCCCTGATCCTGTCCTCCTAACCAGCTATGTAAATGCTCACCATTATTGTCATTTCATTAGTTGGGGGTTTAGAGGTGTCCTCTCAAGAAGACCGTTGGTAAAATGGACACATGCTACCTAGGAGGGAGGAGAGAATTAGGAAGGGATAAAGAAGAGAGCCTACTCTAAAGGATTTTCTTTAACTTTCTCATATTAGAGCATTAGTTTAGATTGATTAATTAATTATCCTTTTAGAAGATACAGCAGCCAGTCCCCAAGGGCATGGTGTATAGGAATGGTAATATCAGTGGGTAAAGGAAGCCCAATAAAAATATGCCATTGCTTAAGCAGCCAGCAGAGGAATCATCCTAGCAGGTAAACTAGCTGGGGAACCAACCTAGGTGGGCAGGCCAGGATATGATAATTCAGTGCAGGCTCTGGGAAGGCAGAGAGAGATACCACAAAAGCACAAGTTGAGAGGAGAGGGGTATTGGTATCTAGGCAGGACCCAGGAGAAGGAGCTCTCCTGGTGAGGCTGGGAAGGATGTGGGTAAGGGAACAAAAGAAAGAGGTTATCATGCCAGTTTGCCTGAGTTTGATCGAGCTTCCAGTAATTGGTAGGAGTTTTTCTCCCCTTAATTCTGTCTTCCTTAAGAGTAAGCACCCAAATAGAGACATCTAGTGGTTCATTCTGGGAAGGTTCCCCACAAAACCTTCAGGCACTCTCCATGAATCCGACTGCAGCCACAGGGAAGAAAAATCCCCCAAAGACAGCAGCTGTGTACATGCACAGAATCTATGATGTGATGGGTATAATTCAGTACCTACTACAGCCATGTCTATTAGTACTAGGAGTTGGAGGACCTGGATTCTAGTTTCAGTTTTGCCAGTTACTGAAGGAATGACTTGGAAAGCTCTTAGTTCTCATTACTTTTCCTACAAAACAGGGATACTAGTATTGTCCATTTTTCAGGGTTACTACAAGCATCAACTAGAGCCAGTGTGATGTAAAAACATATGTGAAAATTCTTTGAAAATTCTAACAACTCTCTAGGAGTCAGTGATCTAGAGGAGGGCAAGCATATGGATTAATGAAAAGGTCTATGGATTTGGATCCAGAAAGACCTGGATATGAACCCTGATTCCACTAATTATGCCTCTATGATCTTGGGCAGTCACATAACCTGTCTCTATGCCTCTGTTTTCTCATCTCCAAAATAAGGGGGTTTAGACAAAGTCCCTTTCAGCTCTGAAATCCCATAATTCTATAAAATGTGCTTCACAGTTTTACTATATACTCAGTGCCAATGAATGCCATGGGATTACTTCTGGGTATTTTAAATTGAGTGACCCTTTTAGTGTCTAAAATTTGGGTTATGTTTTTTTCTTATATTTAAAAAAGTAGTTGTGGATGAACAGAAGTTACTGACATCTCTAGTGACTAATTTTCTCTTTATGTATTGTTATGCCAACATTACTAACCAGGGTCAGATGTGAGAGTTCTTCAGTTACCAAGAACCATCATCCATCTTTCTTATTTTGGAAATGGCAGCACCATGACGTTTTATGAAGCAAAGAAATGGATGGAAATGTAAACCTTTCTCTTAGAACCCAGTGGAATATATTCAAATGGTTGTTCTAGGTGAAAATATCAAACTTTAAATTAAAGTATAAGTCTATGAATTTTCTTATCCTAAAGGTAGATGTCAGGCTAAAAAAATCATTAAAGCACCCATGTGTTTTAAGTGAGCTTTTATAGGGACAAAAGATAGAGAAATACCATAGTACCCCTCCCTGCCCCATCAAAAGTCTGTAGAAAAATAATTAGCTTGTTTTCCAAGATTTTGATCAGACACAGATAATGCAGCTGCCTTTGTCATTGTGATTGATGGAGTAACATATTTCATATTTAGATAATTTATTACATTTTTACATTTGAACTGCCTGCCAAGACAGTTCCAATTTGTGATGGAATCTCCAAACATTTATTTTTTTGTCCCTAATTTGAGTGATTCTGGCAATATCTCCTATTCAGATGGGTGGTTTGTATATTTAACCAGTCAATGTTAAATTGCTTTGAGTAAAATTCATTCAGCCTGTCATTGTTGTTGAAGATAATAGTTTGAGATATACATTCTCTGTCTGCCTCAATTGCCAGATACGTTAGACCAATCCAAGAAAAATAAATGGAATAAGTAAAATAAACACTTGAAAATAAACACCTTGCATTTTAATTTATTCTATATGTACAGTAGCTTCCATCCATGTAGTTATTTCAATTTAAATTATAATGAGTCAGCTCTGAAGGGTGTCTTTGGAAATGTGGCCTTAAGAAAGCAGAAGTTGAAGACTAGGAATCTGAATATTCTGAGTTCTGTTTTAGGCTCTAATGCTGACTCTGTGAAAGGGGTAAAGTGGATAAGAGTCATTGGGCTAGTTGCATCCCCTTTTGTTTGATTCTAATAGCCACATGGAAAAGATAACAAAATAAGACCATCTGAACATTACCTCCTTTACTGCCTATCAACCATCTCATCCATGTAGTTGGCAAGGGATGATCTGTAATTATTTCCTTTTGTGCAGTTTTGTACTCAGAATAACTTGAAGGGGAGGGACCTGAATTTGGACAAAGAATTCAGTTTTGAGTCTCTGAAGTGTTCTCTGGAGGAGATAGCACCTTATGAATAGCACCTTAAGAAGGTTTGGTAGTGGTATTTGCCTGGCTGGTGCCAGATCTCACTTCACCATGCCCCTGGTAGCTGTGACCTTGGTTGGCCATATCTTTTTATTTCTCTCAGCCTACATTCCATGTTCTGGAAAATAAGGAAGTTGGAAGAGATGATTTCAAGGCCCAAAGTCAAGGGCAATGACTGGCATACAGTAGGGTCTTAATAAATGATTAGATACTGAGAATGGATACTAACTCTAGAAAGGTAATGTAGTATAATAGAAGGAGCACTGCATCTTGGGTAAGAAGAGCTGAACTGAGTGCTGGATCAGCCAGATATTAGTTGTGACTTTGTGCCAGTTATTTAGCCTCTCTAAGCCTCAGTTGCCTCACCCACAAAATGGACATAATAAACCCTCCTCACATAAGTGTTTCCTAGAAAATGCCTTCTAAAAAATCAAACAACTATAAGGAATGATGATGTTTCTCCTTGTTCTTGTTGTTGTTCTTAATGCTAATGTGGAATTATTTATTCCCATGCATGATGCTTTCAGGAAATGATGGGAGATCACTAATATTTAATTGAAGAATCTGGTGAGCTGAGGGGGAAGAAAAGGAATATAGTCCACAGAGGGTCTGATTTTAGATGAAAAGTCATTCCCCATAACTTTCATTTAAGTTATGGATCAATTCAACTAAGAAAATGAGAAGAGGAAAACTGAGAGCCACATATTTGTCTCAAGGTACTTAGCATTCTTTTGCTTCAAAGTAAATCACAATCATAGATCTGGAATTTAAAAGCCATACAATCTAATCCCTTCATTTTGGTGATGAGCAGGTATTTGAAGCCAGTTTCTCTGACTCCAAATCAAATGCTCTTTAAAGTATGGCACCATTATTTTCTTGATGTTTCAATAGAATATAGAACCTTCTACATCAAAGAGAGGCATCTTACATCCTGCAGTTCTTCATACTGATGTAAGTGGTGCAGTGTGGATAGAGCACTGGGCTTAGAATTAGGAAAACTCATTTTCATGAGTTCAAATCTGGCCTCAGACACCAGCTGTGTGACCCTGGGTAAATCACTTAATCCTGTTTGTCTCACTTCTTTGTATATAAAATGAGCTAGAGAAGGAAATAGCATACCATTCCAACATCTTTGCCAAGAAAATCCAAAAAGGGTTCACAAGGAGTTGGACACGACTGAAAATGACTGGACAACAGCATAAGAAGACAGTGATTTATGGTCCTTTCTTTTTGCCTCGATATCTATTTTCTTTCAGGATGATATCTAGAGCTATTGAGACTACTTACAGACAAATAGACTTTCATACAGTATTGGTAACACAAACACACAAGCTAGTATTGGAGAAAGATGTTTGAATTTAACTACTAAATTATTTTGAAGACAATCACTCTTAATTCAATAACTGATTGATAATAGTTGTTTTCAGGAAGGTAAGCAAGGTAGGCAAAAAACATGTACTAAGTGCATGATGCTAAGTGCTGGGAATACAACTACAAGCAAAAAGAAAAATAGTCCCTGTCTTCAGGGAGTTTACATTCTAATGAAAAGAAAACAACACATAAAAAAGGACCTGACAAGGAGCAAGGGAAGTTGGGAAAAGATACCTGCGGGAGCATAGTGGTAACATTTAGAGAGTCAGACGCACAACCAGGAGGGAAATAAACAATGGCCAGTCTGGGCCTGTCCCTAAAATGGAGGCCCTTGGAAGGAACTCTCTAATACGAGAAGTAGGCCAGTATGTTTAGAGAGATATTTCAGGGTGAGAAGCCTGGGGGTGTTGAGAGAAGTCTTAGGATGAGAAGGCAGTCAAGTCATGGTAGTAAGTCGGAAGTGAGTCAGAAGCAGAGCCAGGAAGAGAAATTTTCAATATAGCTAATAGTTAGCACCATTTAACTTAGCACGTGATTTTTTCTATACCATAGGTATGTTGGGAAAGATTGAAGGCAAAAGGAAAAAGGTATAGCAGAAAATGAGATGGAAAGATAGTGTCATAGGAACAACAAACACAAGCTTGGATAGACTTCAGGAGACAGTGGAGGATAGAAGAGCCTGGCATGCTATGGTCCATGGTATCACAGAGAGTCAGGCATGACTGAATGAATGAACAACATATGTTGCTGGGGGTTGCTTATCGATCACCTATATGTCTTACTTAGCTGCCTAGATGATAGTGTTTGGTTTTAGGCACAAATTTTCTCACATAAGTCTAGTGGCTTTTGGTATGTTATAGGATCCAAACTATTTCCTCATGAAAATATGTTTCAGGGAATAATAAACATTTTGTCAATAGGGATGAAATTTATTATTTGTTGAATCACAGTGTGATTACTAAGATGCTTGAGTAAAACCAAGCAAAAATCAGCCTTACAATTTCACAGTGTGTCTTTTAACAAACTGTCTACTCTTCCTTTGCTACACAGAGCATAGCAAATGAACAAAAGAATATCCTACTGGAGCACAATTCTACACCCTACACTACTCTAAAATTTGGTTTCTTCCAAATTTCTATCAGACTTTGAAGAAAAAGAACTTTATAGTATTTACATCAATTTTAATTCTCCTATTCCCTATGCCTGGAATGAACTTCCCTCTCTTTCTCCCTCATGTCCACCTATTGGAATTCTTCCAAGGGCCAACTCAGATGCCATCACTTGGATGAAACCTTCTCTAATTCTTCTGCCCCTCTTCCTCATAGCCCTTATGAAAATTATTGGGCATAGTGGATAAAGTGGTGGAACTGCAGTCAGGAAGACCTGGGTTCAAATTTTGTCTCACCCACTCCCTAGTTGTGTGACCCTGGGCAAGTCATTTCACTTCCCTGTACCTCCCTTTAAATGAGGCAGGTTGGATTTGATGGCTTCCGAGGTCCTTTCCACCTCAAATCTATGATCCTACGATCTTTTCCTCATGTGTTTTACAGCCACAGATGGCTAATAATAGACAACATAATAAATTATACACTTTCTCAAAATTCAGCATTCAAGAATCATCTAAGGGATGGAATATGAAGTATAGAGATGGTAGGTAACTGACAGTGCAATATCTGAAAAGTCGTGGGACGTGTGGACTTCACGGTTGGTGCTTCTTCTAAATTCTCAGTCGTGTTTGTTCCCTTCCCACTGAAGATGGGTTCCAGATTGCTGCAACATATCCGTGTAAGACTTAATGTGGTCCCTAGGAAAGGAGAAGCAGATGCTGTTATAAAACTCAACAAGGCCAGGGAAAATCTGATCAAGGAACACGAGAATAGGGAGATCTTGGAATATTTCTTTGTAGCCCTTTTGAAAATCCACAAATTCTCATACTTAGTAGCTGTGTGACTTCAGGTTACTCAGTTTGTCTCTCTGGGCATCTATAAAATGAGAGGGTTGGGTTAGATTAGCTCTGAGGTCTCTTCCGGCTATGATACTATGATCTATGAGTAATACTTTGTGAAGAGAAAAGGAGGATCTCAATGATTTTTGAAGCTCTATGACTGGTTTAGAAAAGCTATTTAGAAAAGATATTAGAAGTGTTAAAGAAAAAGTATTAAAGAGGTAATATGCTAGGGACAAACTCAGTTTAGATGTCACCTTCTACAGGCAACTTTTTTTTTGTTTTCCTAGTTATTGGTGCTCTTCCCCTCCCACAATTTACTTTCTATGTATTTTGTGTATGTAACATACCTTTGAACTCCCACTCCAAAGTCTTGGCCACAGAGCAAGGGGAGACAGGTGCTAGTCTGTTGCAGGACAGTTATTTCCTCCCAGTATTCCCTTAGCTGTGAAGAGCCCTGGGCTTGACCAGGATGAGTTAAATGTATAATTTACATTTCCTGAAATGCCTGTGCTGTACCGCCCCCCCATCTCAGCCCCTCCAGAATAAGGAACTTGGGGGCAGAGAGACTTTTTTTTTTGTTTGTATTTGTATCCCTCACTCCTAGCACAAAGTAAGTGCTTAAATGCTCATTGAATTTTAATTGAATATAAAATCTTCCCTCCCAGTTAAAATGAAGGCACTGTCTCCTTTCAAAAACAAAACAGAACAACCAAACAAACATAAAGTACTAAAGAACATAGGCAATATTTCCTTGTCCTGGAAATGTTGCATTCACATTTCTCCATTTAAAAGCCCATTTCCTTATTGATAAATATTTTGCAGCATTTCATTTTAATTCCCATCATTTTCATTTTCTTAGTGTAGTAAGACAAAGTAATCTTACTGGGCAGTTGACGGATCAAAGGCAAAAGACCCCAGGTCCATGTAATACTGGGCTGTTGTTCTCACAGCAGTCCATAATTCACTAGCCTATGACAGAGAAGAACAAAAGCAATCGTCAATTTTCCATGTAAGATTAAACCAGTGATTCATCCCAGGAAAAACCCCAAGCCATTGTAGTATCATAGAGCTTAAATTTAGATGTGGAAAAGAATTTAGAAGTCATCTAGTACAACACTTTTAATTTTACAGAGGAGAAAATTGAGGCTTGCCCAAGGTTGAATAAGTGTTAACAAGTTCTAAGAATCAACCTCTCTGGGACTTAGTTTTCCCATCTATAAAAATGACAATAATAATAGCACTTACTTTATGTGGTTATGTGAGGTACCATAGGAAGTGTTTTGCAAACCTTAAAGAGCTATATAAATGCTAGCAAATATTATTTACTGGCAGACTTGGAATTTGAACTCAGGTTCTCACACTGCAAGTTTAGGATTCTTCCCACTGCATCATGCTGCCTCCTAAAATCATCTTTGCTCTTCTCATTTGCCATGCTCTGTTTATCCTTCATGCTTCAAACTCCTTTTACAATTGTGCTATCAAGTACTGTTATTATATTTGGTGGGGCATGAAAATATATATATATATATATATATATGTATATCAAGGATCATGTGTGGGTGTGGGAATTCCTTCCATCAACACACATTACAAACTGTTTATAACTTGGTAGATAAGTCCTAGAGAGTTGTCTGAGGCTCAGAGAACTTAATAAACTTGCCTATGGTCATGTACCTAGTAAATGTCAGAAGCAAGGGTCAGAAGCCAGCTTCAACCCAGTTAGATTGTTAAATTGTCAGGGTGTGCAAGTACTCCTCAGAAATGAACAGTTGCTAAAAAAAAAAAAATTAGGGATTGATTTATTATTTAATTAATTGTCTAGATTTCAGAAAGTATAAATATTGCAGATTAAACTTAAAAACATGTATGCATGCATTTTTCCCCCAGAGAGCCCAGTTATCAAACATTTATTGGCATACCCCTGTATTGTGTGCCAAAAGCAAATTACCTGTTCAGCCAGAGTATATCCCCATCCATTCTGACTGTGATTTGGGTACCAGTAATCCTGTGGATATATTTGTCTTTTTAGTCGTAGAAATTGATTTGCCGAATCATCTGACAAAAATGGAGCTCCCATCACACCTGCAATTGAAACAGTCTATGTATATTTCTAATATTAAAAAAACTCTTTGAGGTTCTAACATCTTTTTATGTATTACAACTCATCTATAATTGATGAGTCAGTGTGAATGCAAGTGTGGCACCAGCTTCTCTGTGTCCTAAGTGATTGTAGGTATTTTGAGGAGAAAAAGTCATTACTTTTTTTCACTATTTATTTTTGGTTTGCTATATTTCCCACTCTGTAGTTTATAGCAGTGGTTCTTAAACTTTATGATCTCAGAATCCCTTCATATTCTTAAAAATTGCTGAGAACCCTCCAAAGAGTTTTTGTTTATGTTGATTATATCTATTGATATTTAATGTATTAGAAATTAAGACATTTCAGTGTTTTTTTGAAAATAGTTTTGAGCTCAGGGACACCCTGAATGAGTCTCAGGGATCCCTCAGGGTCTCCAAATGACACGTTGAGAATCACTGGTTTATAGAATTTCTGGATGTCCCAAGACCATATGACTAACCCGATTCTGCTATATTGGACCAGGATCCTGTTAGATTGGGCACCATATTAGTAATATTATTATCCTGTGGTGGGATACATAGGATATGGAGTCAGAGGAACTGTGTTTAAATTGCAGCTCTGTTAATTACCTATTAACAGGTTTCCTATGTGATCTTAGAAAAGTCATTTCCTCTCTTTGGGTCTGTTTCCTCATCTAGTCAATGAAGAGCTTGGTCTAAATACTACCTAAGGTCCTTTTCACTTCTAAAGCATATGATAATACATTGATGAAGATTTGTTTAATATGAACTTTGTCAAAATTAGTTACTTTCCTTCATTTTCAGAGTTCTCCTTTATCCTTATGTATATGAAAATAGTATTAGGTATAGAAATTAATAGTATTAGTATGCTTCAGAATTACAGGATGGAAACAGAGGACATGAGAGTACTATGCTTCATGCCCAGCTTTTCTTGCCCTTTTATCTTACTTTAGATATACTGGAATCACCAGAAGCCATAAAAGATTGCCTGACATCCTTATCCGAGGAGAAGGAGAAGACCAAATCAAAGAGAAATATTGGATGTGGCTGCAGGAGAGAAGGAAAACAGGAAGAAACTGTCCAGGTTACGGGAATAAACAGTGAGTCTCAAATCGGAAGTAACTGGAGAGGAAAGTTCCTAAAGGGGGAATCCTGAAAGCTTGACTTTTTCCTCCTTCTCCCCTCCTCACTCATAAAGTGAGATGATAGAATTGTAGTACATGGTCAAATGTGAGTGTCAAATGCTTAGCGGCTATATGACCTTGGGAAAGTCACTCAATCTCTATCTGCCTCAGTTTCCTCCACTATAACACAGGGATAATAATGATACCTACCTCCCAGGGTTGTTGTGAGGTCCAAATAACAAAATAATAATGATAGCTAGCATTTCTAGAATGTTCTTTAGGCACCATCTAGGGGAGTACCCAATCATTCTTCATCAATGATGTTTCCATTTGCCTCACTCAAGGAACTTATTTGTACCTCATAAAAAGATTACTTGGCCTGACTAAAGATTTATAGTTAGTTTAACACCTTATTATTGGTCCTTTTTCTATGATTAAGTCCTGGGCTTTCAAGGACCAACATGCATGTTATGTGTTGTTCCTGGTATGTATATATGTGTGTATATCTATACATATATAAATAATAATGTATATGTGTATATATATACAATAATAGTGTATTTAAACAAATAACAGAAAAATGATGTGTGTGTACACACATTCTTCTTCAATATTGGTGTGCTTTTCCAAAAAAGTGGAAATTCAGGCAAGTATATATATCATCTGTATCTGTGATCTATTGTACATTTCTTAAATGGATTTTGTTCAGGTTCTAACCTTAAATTCAAGGAAATAAAATGCAATAATTGCTAATAATCTTGCTCCTCAGAAACTGAAAGAAGTCAAAGCAAAAAACTAGGTGCTGCCATTTTTCTAATTGTGTGATATATTTGCCCCCCCCCAAAAGGGCTATTATATAAAGCCTAGATTATACTCTAAATACGCAGTATTTCTGTTCTAGAGCCTAATAATTCTACCTTTTCATAAAATTTCTTTTTAGTAGATAAAAATGTTTCACTGATATGATCTATATAATTCTCAGAATGAAGTACCCACCTCAGCATTCTGTACCCCATAATGGGTTCTCAATAAATATTAATTGATGGTGATGAAAATATCCCCCAGGAGATGGGCAGAAAGTAATATTTATTATCTCACTTTACAAATGATAAAATTAACACACATATGAAATGACTTATCCAAGGTCAGCGTAAGTAGGTCAGTGGCAGTATGGGGAATTAAACTCAAATAATACATAAGAACACACTATTATTCTCTCTGCTTGAGAAATTTCTCCTCCCTTTTGTTTCTTCCTGGTCAACATTGAAAGTTAGTAGGGAATAGATCAGGACTTTGAGTTTCAGAGGACAAATTATGTTGGACCCTGGGTCCTTGGTTTTCCAACTTTTTTTAATTAGATGTAACATTTCAGTGTTCTAGAAGCTGTCTGGACTATAAATTGCAGAGAAGCTGCTAACCTAAATTAGTGGAGGAAGGCCCCCACAGGGAGTAGTTCCCTACATCAATGAGATCACAGCTTCAGTCCCTATTCTATCTTTCCATTATTTAGAGGGAAGTTAATGTGACTTGTTTTGTTCAGTCATTTCACTCATGTCAGACTCTTTGTGACCCCATTTGGGACTTTCTTGGCAAAGATACTGGAATGGTTTGCCATTTCCTTCTCCAGTTCATTTAATAGAGGCCAACAGGGTTAAGTTTCTTGGCCAGGTTTACATAGCTAGTAGGTGTCTGAGGCCAGAGTTGAACTCATGTATTCCTGATTTACAGCTCCAACACTCTATTCAATGTGCCACCTAGTTGCCCAGATTAAGTGATAGATTTAATCTAATGATGAAACATGATCATTTTGGAAGGGATGCCTGAAAATCTGTGTTCTCCACTTTTTCTGAGTCATGAGGAAATGAAATTTAAAAATAAAAGCTCATACCATAAGCCATGTATGGTCCCAAGAGCAGTGTTATAGTAAAAGTCAGAAGATCCGGTTACTGCAGTAGAAAGAACTAGATCTAATATCAGAAGACCTGGATTCAAATCCTGTCTCTATAACACTTGAATTATGCAACTATGAACTGGTTTCTGACTGGGACATTCTTTCAGAAGAGCAAAAGAAGAGGACATTGGTATCTATTTGAAAACTGTGGCCGGGACAATTGAAGAATTTTCACAGGAAGAAGCAACAGGGAACATGTCCCCCTTATTTTCTGAGATCTACATTTTACAGAGAGTCATAGGAGACTTGGAGCTAAATAATGCAAGGAAGAGTCAAGCGTTAAGGAGTCAAAAATAGAGGAAATTACTCAGAGTGTGGCTAAGGGTGACTGAGGCTATGCAGAGTTCTGTGTGACCCTGGACTAAGTCACTTAAAGTTTGCCTGAGATTCCTCAACTGTAAAATGGGGATAATAACAGCACCTACCTCCCAGGGCTATTGTGAGGTTCAAATGAAATAATAATTGTAAAGTGTTTGGCATATAGTAGACTAATAAAATCTCCTTTCTTTTTTCCTTCCTTCCTTCCTTCCTTCTAATTAAGAGAAAGTCACACATAAGCAAATGTCATGATTTGTCTTGAACTCTGAATGAGCTCCATTTTTTTCCTTTCTGACATGTAAACAAATGTATTCAATCTTTGAATCGTGTACACCATATATTTGCAAGGGAAGCTTATAACAACATTCTGGGTGGTGTTAATAAGGTTCTGAGCTTATCTAGCTGAGCTCAGTGTTGGGGAAGGGAAGGGGAAAAGCATTTATTAAGCACCTAGTATGTGCCAAGCACTGTGCTAAGTACTTCACAAACATTATCTCATTTGATCCTTATAATGACCCTGAAAGACAGGTGCTATTATCATTATTCCCATTTTATAGTTCAGGAAAGGGAGGTAGACAGAGGTTAAGTGACTAGCCTATGGTGATATAACTAGTAAGTGTCTGAGGCCCAGGTTGAACTTGGGTTTTCCTGACTTCAGACCCAGCTGTCTGTCCACTGTTCCACTGAACTGATCACAGGTGAGCCAGAACAGAGATAAATTCCTGTTATATGTGGATCTTTTATGTCCAGAGAGCCTCCGATATAAGGGTCACATGAACATGTGTTCTTCAGGAATTTCAAAAGAATAGAATATTTCTCTTTTTCTTATCACTGTTAACTCTTGGATTCTGCCCTTAAAAATTATGGAAGGAAGGGTAGAGTTTGCCCAATGTTTGAAATATAACTGTTTTGGCCATTTTGACTGGATTTAGATGAAAAGCAAGTCACACAAGTAATTTAACCCAATAGAGCAATAAATTTAGTCAAAATGGTAGAATGGGTGTCTGTGTATATGTAGACAGTGAGAGAAACTTAGGGTGGGTGACAGAAAGAAAAGAAAAGGGAAAGAGAGAAAAAAGAGAAGAGAAGAAAGGAGAGAAGAGAAGCAAAGTGAAAAGAAGACAAGAGAAGGACAGAAAACATGGGAAATAGTGAGAAGGAGAAGTGAAAAGAGAAAGGAAGAAGTGAAATGCAATAAGAAAAGAATTCTAGAAAGACAAAAGGAGACAAAAGGAGAAAAAACAGAATAGAAAAAAGGGAATTGAAGTAGAGGGCAGGCTACATATTTTCATACAAAATAGTCTGTTAGTTTGTAAGTGAACTTTTAACTTTAGGACTTTGACTCTATTGACAAATGTACTAGCATATTGGTTACTTTGAAAAGTAAACAGAAGTTAGCATTACTTAAGTTTGTTTAATTCTACTTTTACTTGTTTTAATCATTCTTTTTCTACCTCCTCCTTCCATTCCCCCCCCCCCCCACACACACACCTCTCACAACACAGATCTACATTGTTCTCTGGGATTACTTCAAGGTATAGAGAGCTGGCAGAACTCTTTGCAGTTCCTTAATCTAACAGAAAATATAA